TAGGGAACTACTCATAGGTAGGAGAAAGACAGTCAATCTCAACTCAACTCTCCAGTACGTCATGGAGTGACACGAGCCACTATTCGAGCCCCTCTTATTCATTTTTTATATCAATGAGTTACGTATGCTCAATGATTCCCTCATGGACCTTTAATCAAATGACCTAAAATGTTTGCAGAGAGCCGAATTCCGACAGTCACATGCTTACATCGCAACGAAATCTCAACGAATTCTATGTATTTTCAACGAAATGAAATGCGAAACCACACGCAATGAGCACGCAAGCATCAGCTGATACAAACCAGATGCGATAACGATCCCATCATCTAAGACTTATATGGATCTAGATGTCATAATAAGTCCCGACTAAACAAACCATAGCACACTATCAATATCATGAGCGGGTATTGGCTACAAATCAGCCAATGGGAGTAACCCAGATGTACTTCCTCAACCAATGACAGTTAACTTTTGAGAACTGCGTTACAATGAATCTTAATTAGTGATTAATAATACATCATTTCAAATAATATACTCTTTTAATATAAACAATCAATTAAATATACTTTTACTATCTAAATACATCACCAAAGGCCCCTCTCTCAGAAATCTTTTACTGCACTGAAATCCTTCGAAGCGGGTGAATCCACAATTTGTATTTCCACTGCTGTGAGTTGTCTGCGTGCTTGTCAACCTTCTTTTTTACGAATTTTTCCAAGTAATTACTTGCACACTTATATGTTTTATATTGCAAATATAACAGTACTGGCCATTTTTATTGTTAGGCATAGCGTGTAAGTTGTGTAGACCGCAGGAATCCGTTTTTTAACCGTTTTTCCGATTTCTTCCAGGTAACATGAGCTCCGTCAAGCATCACTAATACACTAAATGACAGCAGACCACCAGCTAGTGTCGAACCATAACTTTGAATAACAAAAATGATGACAGAAGAGAAAGACGGGGGGCGGAAAAGAACAAAACGGTTATGAAAAATATCTTTGAAAAGGCCTACGTCTATTGAATACCAATCGCAGCACACAATTTTCCTGCATCATTTGTACTAACGGTTTATTCGTTTGATCAAGTTTACATTCAAGTTGAGCAAATTTGTAAAGTAATCCATTATGAGACCAGTTTAATTCAGACGTCATAGATGGTAAGCGACTATCAAGATACTTACTTAACGCTTCAATTGGTATATGTGGTGAATGCGCAGTTTCTTCTAGTTTCTCTGTATTAACGGTACTAGGATGACGATTAGACGTATCTATCGGCATCGGCGGTATACTTTTCTTATCTTCTAATATTGGATCATACGGATGATTTGTAAGCGATTTCAATGATGATGATGCTGATGACTTCTGGTATATGCTATCAGCAGTATCACTGTCTATCAGTAAACTTTGATCTAATAATGATCGATTTGAACTAATAATATTGGTGAGTGGTTTTGATTCTGGTTGATCGAATACATGAAGCATTACTGACCATCTTGTTAGTGATTTAGTCTGTTCTGTTTTTCCCGTTGTTTTTGTTGTATTGTATTAGTTAATTCGCTTAAAGGTTGACGAATTTGGCTATTACTACATGTTAGGTGAGTACTATTCATTGATGTACTGTAAGAATTTTTATTGGTTATTTGAGAAGTTGATAAATTGCATAATGTATTATTATTATTATTAATAAAGCCTACGTCATTTAGATCAGCTCGTAAAGTGGATGAGAATGAAAGTAGACGAATAGAATGATTACCTGATCCAATAGAGATACAATGAATTGGTGTAGACATATTCTGTACATTATATAACCATACTTCACCATTTACTAAACCAGTTGCAAGAATATGCGTTCTTGAAGCGACATCAATACTTAGATAACCGTGTTGTTCATCCACTGGTGATAAACATGTGACAGGTTTTTGTTGTTGTTGTTGTTGTTTCTGTTGACCTGATGTCGACAGTATATACCACACAGGCAAATTTAAATCTGGTAATCCTGCACTATACAATAATTGATCATCATTCGATGAAAATGCAATGCGTATACAACCTTCATAATAATCTTTGAATAACTTTGAATCATCAACTTTATATTTCATATCCTGTGGTGCATTGTTTGAAATGTGAACTCTAAGCTGTATTTTTCATAATTTTTACTTATCTTTGTTCTTTTGGCATTGGTTTTTTCCCTTTATTTATTTACTTTTTTGATTGTAAAAGTCTTATAAAATTTATGAGGTAATTAGATGCAATATATTGTAATGCATGCTGAAAATTCCATACCTGTACCACAAATACCGTTTGGAATAAAGCTGTTAATATTATTATTGTTATTAAACTGATTTCATTCATACTTGTAGCTAAAGATTTAACATCCCAATAATTTAAAATGTAATTGTTTGTATCACCAGTAACTGGCTATTGTATATTCCATAAGATTATAGAACCATTAGATTAACCACAGCATATGAGATGGCCATTAAATTTAGAAGTTTATAACATACAACATTTAGGTAGGGAAGTAACACAACCTTTGACCTGTGAATATTGACAAGGGAAAGGTAATACGATGTTTTCACATCGACCATTAGTACTAGTTTTATCCGAAGCTGCTAAGAATAATACAATAGAGCCATTATTATATCCAGCAGCAATAATACGATCATTTAACACCCAACTAATACACTTGGGTTGTAATTCATTAGGTAATATATTAAATGGATGTAGATTAGTATAGCGTAATTGACATCGTAGTGTTATTTGCTTATTTCCACAATTATAAACAATTATCAAACCAGTATTAATGCCAACAGCTAGATATCTGCCTGAACTTCTAGGGAAACCGATACACGTGGCTGTACAATTTTCAGATTGTAAACTCAACGTCAGTATATCAGAAGTTGTCTTTCCATAGTCATGATTTTTGCCAAACAATAATTGTTGAAGGTAAACAGATCCACCAGATTTATCAATAACAGCTAGCTTAAATGATCGAGGATTCCACTGGATTGATTGAATCGGACTGGTTGATATTGGTTGAGGTTATACCTCCTTGTACTGCCACTTACCCCATCTTATTCGTTTTATCAGCACAATCAAGAATCTACATGTCTGAGCGACAGTTTAACACAGACATTGGTTGATTTTTTGTGATGAAAGCAGCTTGGAAGTGAGTTAGAAATTAAAGCGATCTGTGCCTTATTTACTGTCTTATAAGCTGAAGATGACTGTTTTATAGCAAATCCTGAATAAAAGTGACTAATAGGATTAATTTCTAATACCGTAGAAACGCCTTAAGGTGCAACCTTAGAACATTTCTCAACTAATTCTAATTTTCAACATGAATGGCACTAATTTAGCCCCTGTTCATCTTCTGGGCATTTTCTGAAGTAGCTCGGAACCTGCTGTGTCTGCTTATCAGCCTTATTTCAGCATTCTTAGCCCAGATTCAGCGTCCAGGGCTTTTTTTAAGAACGACCAGGGTTATTTCATTACATGATGTGATCATTTCATGTAGATAAAATATTCATTCACTGTAAATTGGCATTATTGACGAGTAGGTTAGAATTAGTTGAGAATTGTTGTAAGGTTGCACCTTAAGGCGTTTCTACGGTATTAGAAATTAATCCTATTAGTCACTATTATTCAGGATTTGCTATAAAACAGTCATCTTCAGCTTATAAGACAGTAAATAAGGCACAGATCGCTTTAATTTCTAACTCACTTCCAAGCTGCTTTCATCACAAAAAATCAACCAATGTCTGTGTTAAACTGTCGCTCAGACATGTAGATTCTTGATTGTGCTGATAAAACGAATAAGATGGGGTAAGTGGCAGTACAAGGAGGTATAACCTCAACCAATATCAACCAGTCCGATTCAATCAATCCAGTGGAATCCTCGATCATTTAAGCTAGCTGTTATTGATAAATCTGGTGGATCTGTTTACCTTCAACAATTATTGTTTGGCAAAAATCATGACTATGGAAAGACAACTTCTGATATACTGACGTTGAGTTTACAATCTGAAAATTGTACAGCCACGTGTATCGGTTTCCCTAGAAGTTCAGGCAGATATCTAGCTGTTGGCATTAATACTGGTTTGATAAATGTTTATAATTGTGCAAATAACACTACGATGTCAATTACGCTATACTAATCTACATCCATTTAATATATTACCTAATGAATTACAACCCAAGTGTATTAGTTGGGTGTTAAATGATCGTATTATTGCTGCTGGATATAATAATGGCTCTATTGTATTATTCTTAGCAGCTTCGGATAAAACTAGTACTAATGGTCGATGTGAAAACATCGTATTACCTTTCCCTTGTCAATATTCACAGGTCAAAGGTTGTGTTACTTCCCTACCTAAATGTTGTATGTTATAAACTTCTAAATTTAATGGCCATCTCATATGCTGTGGTTAATCTAATGGTTCTATAATCTTATGGAATATACAATAGCCAGTTACTGGTGATACAAACAATTACATTTTAAATTATTGGGATGTTAAATCTTTAGCTACAAGTATGAACGAAATCAGTTTAATAACAATAATAATATTAACAGCTTTATTCCAAACGGTATTTGTGGTACAGGTATGGAATTTTCAGCATGCATTACAATATATTGCATCTAATTACCTCATAAATTTTATAAGACTTTTACAATCAAAAAAGTAAATAAATAAAGGGAAAAAACCAATGCCAAAAGAACAAAGATAAGTAAAAATTATGAAAAATACAGCTTAGAGTTTACATTTCAAACAATGCACCACAGGATATGAAATATAAAGTTGATGATTCAAAGTTATTCAAAGATTATTATGAAAGTTGTATACGCATTGCATTTTCATCGAATGATGATCAATTATTGTATAGTGCAGGATTACCAGATTTAAATTTGCGTGTATCGTATATATTACAACAAAAACCTGTCACATGTTTATCACCAGTGGATGAACAACACGAGAACAGGCGGCATTACTGACCATCTTGTTAGTGATTTAGACTGTTCTGTTTTTCCCGTTGTTTTTGTTGTATTGTATTAGTTAATTCGCTTAAAGGTTGACGAATTTGGCTATTACTACATGTTAGGTGAGTACTATTCATTGATGTACTGTAAGAATTTTTATTGGTTATTTGAGAAGTTGATAAATTGCATAATGTATTATTATTATTATTATTAATAAAGCCTACGTCATTTAGATCAGCTCGTAAAGTGGATGAGAATGAAAGTAGACGAATAGAATGATTACCTGATCCAATAGAGATACAATGAATTGGTGTAGACATATTCTGTACATTATATAACCATACTTCACCATTTACTAAACCAGTTGCAAGAATATGCGTTCTTGAAGCGACATCAATACTTAGATAACCGTGTTGTTCATCCACTGGTGATAAACATGTGACAGGTTTTTTGTTGTTGTTGTTGTTTCTGTTGACCTGATGTCGACAGTATATACCACACAGGCAAATTTAAATCTGGTAATCCTGCACTATACAATAATTGATCATCATTCGATGAAAATGCAATGCGTATACAACCTTCATAATAATCTTTGAATAACTTTGAATCATCAACTTTATATTTCATATCCTGTGGTGCATTGTTTGAAATGTGAACTCTAAGCTGTATTTTTCATAATTTTTACTTATCTTTGTTCTTTTGGCATTGGTTTTTTCCCTTTATTTATTTACTTTTTTGATTGTAAAAGTCTTATAAAATTTATGAGGTAATTAGATGCAATATATTGTAATGCATGCTGAAAATTCCATACCTGTACCACAAATACCGTTTGGAATAAAGCTGTTAATATTATTATTGTTATTAAACTGATTTCATTCATACTTGTAGCTAAAGATTTAACATCCCAATAATTTAAAATGTAATTGTTTGTATCACCAGTAACTGGCTATTGTATATTCCATAAGATTATAGAACCATTAGATTAACCACAGCATATGAGATGGCCATTAAATTTAGAAGTTTATAACATACAACATTTAGGTAGGGAAGTAACACAACCTTTGACCTGTGAATATTGACAAGGGAAAGGTAATACGATGTTTTCACATCGACCATTAGTACTAGTTTTATCCGAAGCTGCTAAGAATAATACAATAGAGCCATTATTATATCCAGCAGCAATAATACGATCATTTAACACCCAACTAATACACTTGGGTTGTAATTCATTAGGTAATATATTAAATGGATGTAGATTAGTATAGCGTAATTGACATCGTAGTGTTATTTGCTTATTTCCACAATTATAAACAATTATCAAACCAGTATTAATGCCAACAGCTAGATATCTGCCTGAACTTCTAGGGAAACCGATACACGTGGCTGTACAATTTTCAGATTGTAAACTCAACGTCAGTATATCAGAAGTTGTCTTTCCATAGTCATGATTTTTGCCAAACAATAATTGTTGAAGGTAAACAGATCCACCAGATTTATCAATAACAGCTAGCTTAAATGATCGAGGATTCCACTGGATTGATTGAATCGGACTGGTTGATATTGGTTGAGGTTATACCTCCTTGTACTGCCACTTACCCCATCTTATTCGTTTTATCAGCACAATCAAGAATCTACATGTCTGAGCGACAGTTTAACACAGACATTGGTTGATTTTTTGTGATGAAAGCAGCTTGGAAGTGAGTTAGAAATTAAAGCGATCTGTGCCTTATTTACTGTCTTATAAGCTGAAGATGACTGTTTTATAGCAAATCCTGAATAAAAGTGACTAATAGGATTAATTTCTAATACCGTAGAAACGCCTTAAGGTGCAACCTTAGAACATTTCTCAACTAATTCTAATTTTCAACATGAATGGCACTAATTTAGCCCCTGTTCATCTTCTGGGCATTTTCTGAAGTAGCTCGGAACCTGCTGTGTCTGCTTATCAGCCTTATTTCAGCATTCTTAGCCCAGATTCAGCGTCCAGGGCTTTTTTTAAGAACGACCAGGGTTATTTCATTACATGATGTGATCATTTCATGTAGATAAAATATTCATTCACTGTAAATTGGCATTATTGACGAGTAGGTTAGAATTAGTTGAGAATTGTTGTAAGGTTGCACCTTAAGGCGTTTCTACGGTATTAGAAATTAATCCTATTAGTCACTATTATTCAGGATTTGCTATAAAACAGTCATCTTCAGCTTATAAGACAGTAAATAAGGCACAGATCGCTTTAATTTCTAACTCACTTCCAAGCTGCTTTCATCACAAAAAATCAACCAATGTCTGTGTTGAACTGTCGCTCAGACATGTAGATTCTTGATTGTGCTGATAAAACGAATAAGATGGGGTAAGTGGCAGTACAAGGAGGTATAACCTCAACCAATATCAACCAGTCCGATTCAATCAATCCAGTGGAATCCTCGATCATTTAAGCTAGCTGTTATTGATAAATCTGGTGGATCTGTTTACCTTCAACAATTATTGTTTGGCAAAAATCATGACTATGGAAAGACAACTTCTGATATACTGACGTTGAGTTTACAATCTGAAAATTGTACAGCCACGTGTATCGGTTTCCCTAGAAGTTCAGGCAGATATCTAGCTGTTGGCATTAATACTGGTTTGATAAATGTTTATAATTGTGCAAATAACACTACGATGTCAATTACGCTATACTAATCTACATCCATTTAATATATTACCTAATGAATTACAACCCAAGTGTATTAGTTGGGTGTTAAATGATCGTATTATTGCTGCTGGATATAATAATGGCTCTATTGTATTATTCTTAGCAGCTTCGGATAAAACTAGTACTAATGGTCGATGTGAAAACATCGTATTACCTTTCCCTTGTCAATATTCACAGGTCAAAGGTTGTGTTACTTCCCTACCTAAATGTTGTATGTTATAAACTTCTAAATTTAATGGCCATCTCATATGCTGTGGTTAATCTAATGGTTCTATAATCTTATGGAATATACAATAGCCAGTTACTGGTGATACAAACAATTACATTTTAAATTATTGGGATGTTAAATCTTTAGCTACAAGTATGAACGAAATCAGTTTAATAACAATAATAATATTAACAGCTTTATTCCAAACGGTATTTGTGGTACAGGTATGGAATTTTCAGCATGCATTACAATATATTGCATCTAATTACCTCATAAATTTTATAAGACTTTTACAATCAAAAAAGTAAATAAATAAAGGGAAAAAACCAATGCCAAAAGAACAAAGATAAGTAAAAATTATGAAAAATACAGCTTAGAGTTTACATTTCAAACAATGCACCACAGGATATGAAATATAAAGTTGATGATTCAAAGTTATTCAAAGATTATTATGAAAGTTGTATACGCATTGCATTTTCATCGAATGATGATCAATTATTGTATAGTGCAGGATTACCAGATTTAAATTTGCGTGTATCGTATATATTACAACAAAAACCTGTCACATGTTTATCACCAGTGGATGAACAACACGAGAACAGGCGGCATTACTGACCATCTTGTTAGTGATTTAGACTGTTCTGTTTTTCCCGTTGTTTTTGTTGTATTGTATTAGTTAATTCGCTTAAAGGTTGACGAATTTGGCTATTACTACATGTTAGGTGAGTACTATTCATTGATGTACTGTAAGAATTTTTATTGGTTATTTGAGAAGTTGATAAATTGCATAATGTATTATTATTATTATTATTAATAAAGCCTACGTCATTTAGATCAGCTCGTAAAGTGGATGAGAATGAAAGTAGACGAATAGAATGATTACCTGATCCAATAGAGATACAATGAATTGGTGTAGACATATTCTGTACATTATATAACCATACTTCACCATTTACTAAACCAGTTGCAAGAATATGCGTTCTTGAAGCGACATCAATACTTAGATAACCGTGTTGTTCATCCACTGGTGATAAACATGTGACAGGTTTTTTTGTTGTTGTTGTTGTTTCTGTTGACCTGATGTCGACAGTATATACCACACAGGCAAATTTAAATCTGGTAATCCTGCACTATACAATAATTGATCATCATTCGATGAAAATGCAATGCGTATACAACCTTCATAATAATCTTTGAATAACTTTGAATCATCAACTTTATATTTCATATCCTGTGGTGCATTGTTTGAAATGTGAACTCTAAGCTGTATTTTTCATAATTTTTACTTATCTTTGTTCTTTTGGCATTGGTTTTTTCCCTTTATTTATTTACTTTTTTGATTGTAAAAGTCTTATAAAATTTATGAGGTAATTAGATGCAATATATTGTAATGCATGCTGAAAATTCCATACCTGTACCACAAATACCGTTTGGAATAAAGCTGTTAATATTATTATTGTTATTAAACTGATTTCATTCATACTTGTAGCTAAAGATTTAACATCCCAATAATTTAAAATGTAATTGTTTGTATCACCAGTAACTGGCTATTGTATATTCCATAAGATTATAGAACCATTAGATTAACCACAGCATATGAGATGGCCATTAAATTTAGAAGTTTATAACATACAACATTTAGGTAGGGAAGTAACACAACCTTTGACCTGTGAATATTGACAAGGGAAAGGTAATACGATGTTTTCACATCGACCATTAGTACTAGTTTTATCCGAAGCTGCTAAGAATAATACAATAGAGCCATTATTATATCCAGCAGCAATAATACGATCATTTAACACCCAACTAATACACTTGGGTTGTAATTCATTAGGTAATATATTAAATGGATGTAGATTAGTATAGCGTAATTGACATCGTAGTGTTATTTGCTTATTTCCACAATTATAAACAATTATCAAACCAGTATTAATGCCAACAGCTAGATATCTGCCTGAACTTCTAGGGAAACCGATACACGTGGCTGTACAATTTTCAGATTGTAAACTCAACGTCAGTATATCAGAAGTTGTCTTTCCATAGTCATGATTTTTGCCAAACAATAATTGTTGAAGGTAAACAGATCCACCAGATTTATCAATAACAGCTAGCTTAAATGATCGAGGATTCCACTGGATTGATTGAATCGGACTGGTTGATATTGGTTGAGGTTATACCTCCTTGTACTGCCACTTACCCCATCTTATTCGTTTTATCAGCACAATCAAGAATCTACATGTCTGAGCGACAGTTTAACACAGACATTGGTTGATTTTTTGTGATGAAAGCAGCTTGGAAGTGAGTTAGAAATTAAAGCGATCTGTGCCTTATTTACTGTCTTATAAGCTGAAGATGACTGTTTTATAGCAAATCCTGAATAAAAGTGACTAATAGGATTAATTTCTAATACCGTAGAAACGCCTTAAGGTGCAACCTTAGAACATTTCTCAACTAATTCTAATTTTCAACATGAATGGCACTAATTTAGCCCCTGTTCATCTTCTGGGCATTTTCTGAAGTAGCTCGGAACCTGCTGTGTCTGCTTATCAGCCTTATTTCAGCATTCTTAGCCCAGATTCAGCGTCCAGGGCTTTTTTTAAGAACGACCAGGGTTATTTCATTACATGATGTGATCATTTCATGTAGATAAAATATTCATTCACTGTAAATTGGCATTATTGACGAGTAGGTTAGAATTAGTTGAGAATTGTTGTAAGGTTG